AAAAGGTCAACGCTTTCAATGAGACTGTCTCCAAAGCGTGGTCGTCCTTTTGGCACATCCCCGAAGACAACTTTCTGGCAAGATTGGACGTGACGGATTTCATTTTGAGCGAAGTGGCACTATATAATACCGACAGATATCAGCCGTTGGTCAAACTTTGGGCAAAGGGTGTATTTCAAGCAGCAGATGAAAACGATGATAAAGAGTTGAACGTCTTCGAGCACAAAGCCTTCCTTCAAGTATTCAATGTTCACAAAGGCTTCAATGATTCATTCAGTTATGTCGACGAAAATCAAAGTGGTAGCATCGACAAAAAAGAGTTTGTCAAAGCCGGTGTTGATTATTTCTGCAACGGTTATGAAGATTCGTTGTTTTTTGGTGCATAACATTAACAAACGCAATCCTATTTATATGGTTTTATGAAATAAACAGTTATTTATCTTTGAAATATTCAGTCAATAGTAGGAGATTTGTATAACACAACCTCATATTTAGAATAAATATTCAGAAGCCAATATTTTGTCATGTATTTATTTCGTTTCTTTTTCTTTGTAAAAAGTGGGGGTTCAAAAGAACACACAAGGTGTGGTTAAGATACATGGTACACACCATAAGCAAGAGTAAACCTCTGTACTTTCGCAATGCACATAAAATACGAATATTTTGGTCAACTCTTTCCGATTTACTCCAAGAAAAGACTCCAAAAGACTCCAAAAACATATGGTCACAGGAGTTTCGAGATTGTTGCACCAATTGTATGGTCCAATTTATTAACGTAACAAATGTTTCTTTGAACGACTCTTATTACTGATCTAAAAAGAATTTAAAAACCTTTTCATGAATATTTTGGTTAACATTTATCTCTCAGTTTTAAATAATTTCATAGTAGTTTTTAATTAATCTGTGTAGTTCTAGCTTTTATATGTAAGTGCAAACAGCGATGAGACGCAAGTGTAGTGCGGTTTTAAGAAATTCTTCTTCTTTTTCTTACAAGGTATAAATAGTGGGTATGATCTTCTCTACAGTCCAACCCATGTCGCTTGTGCTCAGTAGGGTTAATACTATGGCTAAAAGATGGTTGCCCCATCTTCGGAACATTGCGCTTCTGCAACAACTGCACTCAACAGACGAGAACTGCGAACAAGTGCATTGTCACGATGAACATTAGTGTCCCTGAACTCACCTGCTGCAAATAGAGTGAGAAGTCTGTTTAAAATGTCACGTGTTTAAGGAATTGATGTGCATTGCGAATGTGCTTGGGCAGGTTTAATACCAGAGCTTGAAGATGGTTGCTTCATCTTCGGAACATTGCGTTTTGTGCAACAAGTACACTCACCAGATGAAAACTGTGAGCAAGTGCACTGTCACGCTGAAACCTGTCAATGTAGTATCCCGGTGGTCACCTCTTGCTAATTGAGAGAGATGTCTGTTGAAAATGTCACGTGTGGAAGGAATTGATAGTTCTATTCTATATACTTTGCAAGAGTATAGTGTACTTTCGCTTGCGGTGTGTTTTTCTTCCTTGTACCGAGAGCATATACGTCACTCACCAAAGGGTTATAAACGACAAATGTTTACAAAGTAATAATAAACCAAAGATACAAAAAAAAAAAAAAAAAAAAAAAAAGGAAAAGAAAATTAAGGGTTCTGTATATTTATTTCATAATAGCATATCTCGTTATCCAAATCTTGTAATATTGACATTGAATATTTCAAAGATAATTCACAATACCAAATGAATAGGACTGTGTTTGTTAATATTACTCGCCATAAAACGAAGAATCATCATAACGGTTGCAAAAATAATCAACAGCGGATGTAACAAACTCTTTTTTTGTCGATGCTTCTACTTTGATTTTCGTCGACAAAACTAAAAGACTTATAGAAGCCCTTGTGAACATTGGATGCTTGAAGGAAGGCTTTGTGCTCGAAAACGTTCAATTCTTCATCATCGTCTTCATCTGCTGCTCGAAATAAACCCTTTGCCCAATATTTGACCGACGGCTGAAACATGGTGGTGTTAAATACTGTCGCGTGAACTGAGATGAAATCCAACACGTCAAAGCATTGTTGAAAGTCGTCTTCTGGGGTGGACCAAAATGAAGACCACGCTCTGGAGACAGTCTCGTTGAAAGCGTTGATCTTTTCCGGCGCAAAATATCCAATGGCTCTTTCAACAGACCCGTTGATATATTCATGTTTGTCCACAAAGCCGTCATTGTCAGCGTCCAATAAGTTAAAAAAGCGGACCCATTTATCACGCCGTTTATCCCCTTCCTCCAGATCTTCCTGTAGTTTATAAAATGTGTCATAAAAACGTTTGTCTAAATGCTATTTAAGATTATTCATATAAAACTATTTGTGGAAGATACACATACTATCTACCCTAAGCGTGAATTTACAACATACTGTTGCGTAAAAAGACACTGATTCCACCATCTGTTGCCCCTAACAATTTTGGTACCAATCATTTGAACGTGACCACTGGAAACTGGTGTTAAATTGATATGTAGAATTCAATCACACAAATATGGCCAACGACACCAAGATGAGGTTATTCCCCAGGATACACGGAGATATGTGCGTTTCTGCAACCAATCTAAACTATTTTATTCGTTGCTTATTATCAAAATATTTGGCCAAGTCATATTCAGGACTCTTAGCAGCCAACTGCAGATTTACATTTATCTCATGGCAAGTTAGTTACATATGGTACATTTCGTAATTATTCTACGTTCGGTTTGGTATGACAAAAATCAGCCTTTATTGTCCTAATTTATATTAACCAACCTATATGTTTTGTTTTTGTAGTTGTTTTCATTTATGCATTAATGTGCTATGCGGACGAGAATAGAATGGATATGTAAGCTCATGCCAACATCATTTAAAAATGATACATCAATTAAAAAAACACCTTACCTTCTGACCATTCTGGTGTCCACTACATGACTTTCCCATTACATAATTCACAACCACCAACAGCAATAACCAGAGCAAACCTGAAAGAAACATGTTAATTGTATGCGTAGAAAGTTAATTGTTAATGGATCTGCGTTCTGTGCGAAAGTGTTACGTATCAACACAGCATTTTACTTAAATAGGTTGTTTTCGGCTTAGTCAGAGGTGTATCTTACCAAATCGACTTTGAACACGTAGTAAATGGGGCCGGTCCAGGTTCATATACAAGAACAGTTATTCGTGCCCTCAATATTATTGGGCTTTCTTCCTTACGGGTGACGACTTATTATTTTTTTTTCATATTCACACACAACATACTATCTAAAAACTAATATACCTACCTGCTGTATTAAATTCCTGAATCATTTGGTTTAATATTTTCCATGGTGTTTTCATTGCCATACTGATGTAGAATGAGAAATAATTCCATCGGCTTTAAAGCACAATGAACGGTCTAGCTAGCACGTGCACACCGGCTTACCATAGAATTATGACAATGAGCTATGATAAATGATTCCATTCAACACAATATTTAACAACCCATAAACCATGTTGATGCTGACCTTTGGTTGTGCGAATGCACAGAATGCTGAATAGATAAAGGTAATTTTGCTTTCCAAAACATTTTACGCCTGAGGTAAACTTAATTCTCTACTGAATAATATAACAGACGGCTTTATTCACCAATCGACCCATTTACTCAGCTAGAATAACTGAATATTTTGATAAAATACAATCGCAATTTAACATACATTGCTGAAACGTGGTACGAATTTTTGTGGGCATTCTTTAACTGTTTATCTTCGCGCACAGTAAAAAGCCTGCAACCTTGTGATTCCCTGTGATAACGCAATGCAATGAAACGGTAATAGACTGCATGTTATAGCCTCACGAAATCTAACCAAATATGGCGGACCCTACTTGAAGATATTATAAATGAATAATCCTTACTCAAATCCTAATAGAACTACCCCCCTTCACTGGTGACGAATGGCCTAGACACGTACATGATATTTATAACTTTCCAATTTACATAAAAAAGGTATTGTTAATGACTATATGTATGAGGGATTGTCAAAATATGTATCAAAACCTTCTGTTGAACCTTAGATGTTCATATTGATACCTTGACTTTATGTTCCGACACGTTTATAACATCAGAATTAAAACAAGAAGGAGATTAAGGCATTAATTGTAAATGATTAAAACATAAGAAGTGAAGTTTATTATTTTATATACTGCGTATTCCACATGGGTCTCAGTGCAGTAAAAATAGTTTGTCGGTATTTTCACCTTCCTGATGAGGATACAGCACAGCTGCCGCATAATGTGCTGACACCTACCAAACGATTAATACCTTTTACTGACACAGCAGTAACATTCCCCCTACTTCAATCCATGCGTGCTGCTGTCAAAAGGGGTGGAGTGGGGGGGGGGGCAGAGGGTACCATTTATGAAGGACTGGCTGCTCCAAACGGAGCCGAGCCCACATCCACTGACTCTGAAAGTGGGCACTCTGATCACAAGGCCATATTATAATATTGTAATACTATATGTTTATGTTGAACTGATACATGTTTGACTGAATGGGTCTCTTTCTAAACGCAATGTTTTGGAAATCAACAACAACTGTGTCTTTTATTCATTTTATTTAAACAACAGATAGACATCAGCACCAACATTACCTGTATGTCATACCCGTAGATAGGTTGTTAAATATTGTGTTGGCAAGCATCTTTTCTCATAATTTCTAAAACAGTATGACAGTGAAAATGACTCGGAAAAAAAGAGAACAAATGTTTTTCGTGAATGTGGTACAAAATACTTGCCAGACAAAAGTGTGGATAGAGAAAAACGTCGTCGCCTTGAGCTGAAAAGAAGGGAGTCCAGTACTTTCAGATACGTGTTCAAATACGATTGGAGTCGGTATACTTCTAGAAGTATCGAAAACAACTTCATAATTAAACGATTCACTATATTGAGACATACCACAATTGCACGTCACAGAACGCAGAAATATTGACAGTTGACGTCCACGAATGATGTTTCTACTTCCACGTCTGGTTTGGTTGCTGTTGTCGGTGATTGTTTATGATGTAACAAGAACATACTCGTCTGTAACTAAGAATTGTCCAAAGGTAAGACGCTCTCGCCGTTGTATTTAAAGCTCACGCGTTAGTCAATGTATTGTTTTGATTTACACATCAACATGCATACATGCATATCTGGACGTTATAACGTACATTGCCAAGGTAGCCTTACTTCGAAAGTAAATCTTGGAGGATATGCTTACGTATACTGTTATTGTTCCTGTGCTGCTTTGAACGGTTTAAATTTCTGCAAACAATATTTTATTATTTGTGAATTTTGCAAAATGTCTTTTTAAAGCAATTGCACAATATGGACTCTTAAATATTTTTCCTTAATTCAGTCGGGTCTTCAGAAATTAACTCTTGATTTCATGAATTGACCTGTCTCAGTAGAGTTGATTTTCACTGATTTTGCCTATACACACATTTTAGAGATCTCCATAACCCCTTTATATTCCCTATTTATATGCCAAAGTATCTGTACCCGTCTGCACATCAGCATGCCAAAACCGGTTCATCCTATCCATTTGAAATTGTAGTTTTAAAACAATGGGGCCGATTTGACGGCCATCCTTGCAGCATAAATATTGAACGAGTCATTCTAGTTCCAGTATCCACTAACTATGGGGTTAAAATAACAACTTCTACAGGGGTTGAGAGCAACCTTCAAGAGCTAAAATTTAATGCAAACATTTAATTCAATACTTTATAATTTTTAAATATAATATTCAAAAATAACTTATGATAAGCGCGTGTAAATATGACTGCTGACGTACCAACAGATAAGCATATTATTTTATTATGCCTGATATAAACTAGAAATTATATAGACACACTATTTTATGGTACACTCTTTAAACTTCAGGAGCATGTGGCTGTAGGGCATGCATGGTATACAAAACTTCTTCACTATTTCACCTTATTGGATGTGGACAATGACGGAATTTTGGACCGCCGTGACTATGTTGACAGGACTGTTGAAAGAGCTAGAATTTATTTTGGGGCCGACAAGATAAATGTTTTCAATGAGACTCTATCCAAAGGCTGGTTTACCTTCTGGTCCGTTCCAGAAGACAAATGCAGAAAAAACGTAGACATAGAGAACGCCATTTGGATACACCTGCGTGGATTAGAAGGCAGGGAACTCGAAGAACCATCAAGCGTTTTATGGGATAAGGGGGTATTTAAAGCAGCAGATGCCGATGAAGATGAAGGGATGAGCGTCAAAGAACACAAAGCGTTCTGTCAAGTATATAACGTACGAAAGGGCATCAACGAGTCTTTTAGTTACATCGATGAAAACCAAAATGGTTGCATCGACCAACAAGAGTTCATTAAAGCAGCCGAGGATTTCTTTTACAACGTCAACAATGAGTCTTTGTTTTTTGGTGCTTGACAGCCACATAGAGAATCTTATTTATAATTGATTTTCAAGATCGTATTTGAGGGGTTTTAATAATTTTCCAATAATAATAATAATAATAATAATAATAATAATAATAATAATAATAATTTATTCAGCTCAAAGAAATGGTTTACATTTACAGGCTCTCTAACTAATACAAACATTATAAGAATAATTTAAGTATTAAACTATGCTCATCCACGCAGGGATACACTATTATCATCACTTCTTAATAATTATACAGAAATGGAAATGATAACGTGAGATTTAATAAATATCCAGATGGCAACCAGAATTTTATTGTAATACTTGCCGTCCTATGACCTTTTGGTGATAACATAGCGCACACGGGTATGACATATAAGCTAGGGACCATATAAGCTAAGAGATTGTAACACCACAGACAAAAATCGTTCACATTTGCCACCGTTTATCATAGGTTATTTTTCTATATTTTAATAAAAATTATGAAGCATTGGATTTTTGCAGATCACACTATACTATAGCATTATACCTGTTTTTAAAAATCACCACAGAAATGCAATTCTGATATTTTGTTAGGCCAGAGTCATGTTTTTGACAGAACTTCCACAAATTAAATAGACATTGGACAGAATATGTAAAAACGACTTTTGCATTACTCCCCCTGCTGAAAAATTGAATATTTTACCTGGATGTAGCATTATGCAATATTGCATTTTCCATTTGTAGCAGATTGTGAAACGCCATAATAATAATAATAATAATAATAATAATAATAATAATAATAATAATAATAATAAAACTATACATAAATAAAACTCGATCAAGGAAAAGCGGGCGTGTTCATAGATACAGAGGTATATATATGGCTGCTGCATTACATTATTGACAAGAGAATCTATAGAAATCCCACCCTGAACAGAAGGGTATTGAAAAGGATGAAATGTTGTCATCATAATTGCCTGTTGCACCCTGCAAAGTAACCTCCAATTAAAAGAAGAATTCACTCGACTTTATGCCCACTATATTCAAGAAAGATGCGCATCTTATTTTATCATGTCACTGAGACCTACATGTATTTTCAGTCTGCATGTTATTGGAGTCTTGCTGTTTGTGTTTCAGTCCATTTAATTATTCAAATCATAATCAGTGGTCCTCTTTTTCTTGGAAACGTTTTGGTGGGTCAGTGGGGAGGTCAGTTTTTATTTGTTTTAGGCCCTTAACTTTTTTTCCTCTGTATTTGAAAGTTGTTGTTCACTAATCAGTGCAGTTACTCCCCGAAATTTGACTTAATTATCTTGATAACTTAAGTTTGACAGAACCTCATGTATAAAGCAAGCGTTGTACATTCACATTATCATCATGAATACATTCATTTTACTGTGCACTTAGGGCTACATATGCCGTAGTGTCTCATTTATCAGACAATGCAACATGCATTTCTATATGAGTGCTTCATATTTATCATCACAAATTTACCTATACATACCCCAGTACACAAACTAGAGGCCTTATGTTTAAGCTTTATGAACGCCACACATAACTCAGATGCAACGAACTAAATTAAATGCACTTAATGGGATGATGGTATATTGGATAATGTGTTCTGTCACTATAAGCAGCATTTGATGGATTACTGCATAAGGTGACTGCTTGTTTTCGATAGGGGCGATCGTTACTCTCTTCCAGCCCAATACTTTGTTTTGCACCTAGAAATTCATGTAGACGGATTCACAGATAATGCAATCCTTCTGATCGAGCCTAATGTGCGTATTTGTAACTATGTTTGTCTTTGTCTTGCCACGTGTGATATTTGCGCTTCATGCATTGGCTTATTAAAGACAACATTGCATACATATATTCGATATACATACCTAGGGATGTTATATGACCGTGGCGATATGATGATCACTGAAGTCTGTCCATTTAGGCAAGCTTCAGTGAAGATCGAGGGCAACCTCGAGCCGTTACCCAAAAATGTCTCGCTTCACTCGACATTTCTGCGTAGCGTCTCTCGGAAAACTCGGATTTAACCTCGATGTAGTCTAGAATTTCAAGACTACATCTTGGTTAAATCAGTCGAGGTCTCTTAAATGCTAAAAGCCAAAGACAGAGTGATCATGTGACCTTCTTGGCATCAAGAGAATAGTGACGTTGCTTGCGTTATATACCTACCAGTAGACAAATCTAAAATCTCTCACGCTCTTAAAAAATTGGCATAAACTTTTCACGTTTAACAATTATTATTTATCATCTTATTACACTAAGCAATATCATATGGGTATGGTTTGAAAGCGGGAATTAGTTTATATTTAAACCACACGTGCATACAAATTATTAGTAAATCTATGGGAGTATTCCCAGATGTTTAGATCGATCTATCCCCGTGGGGAGTCTCACTAGATTACCGTCAGATAATCCGGCTTAAATGTCCGTCCCGCCTAATTCAAGCTGTAAGGGGGTAATTAACTTTCGTGCCCGCTCGGCTGACAGCTATTTAGCGTGAACCCCCAGGGAGTTAGGTTGATCTATTTGGGATCGATCTAATCTCTGGAAATGGGGTCTATAACTTTTAAGCGAGGGTTGTGTTATTTACCTTTTGTTTTTAAGCTGTTCATTCTTCTTCTTTATCAGATATATCGGTAAAAATCAAATGTATTCCCCCTTTGGACTTGTAATTACATGTAGCACATGAATGCTCTGAAAACCAGCACATGTATAATCCGAAACCGCCTCGTAGTAAAAAAAATGTCACCAAAACGTAGAATTATTACTCCAGTGGACTTGAAATAAACATCCGTTTGATTTTGACTATGTTCCGTAACCGCCTCGTCGTCAGAAATAACAATAAAAAACAAGAATTATTACTCCCGTGAGCTTGTAATAAACATCCGTCGATTTTGAATATATTCCGAAACTGCCTCGCTGTCAGAAATATCACCAAAAAGTAAATTTCTTTCTCCTTTGCACTTGTGAAAAATTAGTTTGACTATATTCCGGTCCGACGCTCCTGATTTATCAGAAATGTCACTAAAAAGTAGAGGTTTTGCCTTGGGACCTTGTTTCCGCAGCAATCCCAGCTAGGTGTGGCTCAGCTGAGACGTGCATGGTCAGTGTCGACGGTTGATTAAATACTTCTCAAGCCAGTTGAACGTCCACGACAAGTATTTAGCAAAAATTGACCTAATTGGTCAGACATTACGTAAGAATTTGGCGGGAGGTGACCAGCGCACGTGGACGAGTTTATTCCGTATAACATCTCTAGAGCGTGACATTGGGTCACTTTATTCGCTTTTAGGGGTGTCTTAGGATGAAATGACTGTATTTTTTGCTCGGTATGTATGTCAAATAAAACACTAGCTGTCACCGTCTCGCGATATATGCCATGAACACCTCTCGTTGACGCTCGAGGTGTTATGGCATATATCGCTCGGGTGACAGTGTCAAGTCTGTATAAATGGCACATATATTGATAACAGGTAATATTACTAAACGTGTGATATTTCCGCTTCATGCATTGGCTTATAAAAGACAGCATTATTTACATATATTCGATATTTATTGCAACAAATAATTCTATTTTGAATGACAGTATGAATCTCACCACAACAAGCTTCTAATATTGCCCCCTACCCCCTTCTTGGTAAAATCTTGTTTTTTTTTTCGCTAGTGAAATATACATAATTATCTCGTGAGAAGTGTATTCTACAGTTTAGCTTTCGATTTTGACCCTTGTATTGTAAAAAAAAACACATACTACACACACTGGACAATAGAAGTTAAACCCCTTGAATCAGAGTAATCAATGTTATAATGCCTGCTCTACTTATAATGTGACTAATGAGTATAAAACCGCTGTACCATGTAATTGTACTGTTGATCTTTTTGTGAAATTTGATGTTAATAAAATGATACCAGGTGCATATCAGTCCACAGTCATTTATCTCCCCCAGAGTATTGGTTCAGAAAGGGTTACACTTGTATTGTCCAGTGTGTGCATGTTCCCCAGTGATCACTTGAAAAAACTTCAACTGATGGCCAGAAAACCTTTATTTTTAATCAAAGCACCAAAAACAGTCCCAAGTTTCACACAGAAAATAAATAATAAATAATAAATAAAATAAATAAATAAAAACCAAAGTCAGTTCCCTGGCTTAATTGACTAGGATTTTCATGAGAGTTCTGCTACACTACTCCTTATATGGTAAAATATGCACATGTGACCATGTAACGTTGGTAAGTAGCCAGAGAACCCCTGACTTGTTTTTTTTTTTTTTTTTTTTTTTTTTTTTTTTTTTTTTTAAATGGGGGTTTTGGGGGTACAGGGGGGTGTTT